CGTCATCCCCATGGCCCCAACCACAGCTTGCCCTACTGGCTCCCTTCTAAGGGGTCTTCCCCCTCAGCCTATCACCCTGAGAACTACCAGAAAAGCCTGCCTTAATTCCAGCAGCATCATAATACTATTACTTGCAAACAAGGTTGCCCAACGAGCTTTCTTGTCCTAGGTCATTAAAACCAAGTCCTCTAAATTAAACTCCAACACTCCCACCCTTATCACCTCTACTGACATTCCCTAGGGTTATGATGGCTCCGAGATATGTGTCCCATCCTTGAACTTGCCCTCATTTTTCTATTCTACCACAGAAGGTAGAGAGGGCAGGAACCAATCCCACTTTATAGATGAGGAAACCAAGGTATAGAGAATAAGGTCATTTGTTTCCGAGTTGTTTTCATCCAGAAGGGACACAGTGTTGTGGCATTAGAAGAGGTTGGCTCTGAAGGGACTATATCTCTTCTCTTTCCTCTTTGTCCTCCTCCTCTCTTTGTATAGTGTCTCCCTCCTACGGTACACTGCTCCAAAACTCTTTCCTGTAACACTACACATCTCAGCAGCTATAGGAACTACAGTGTGTCCCAGCTTTTCTGTGTGTGTTTCCTGAACCACCTCAGTCTCAGTTTACACGCCTAGACAATGGGGCTAATAATATCTACCTTAATGAGACGGAATGATAAATCTGGGTGACATGCACAGCCTTAGGCCTGGGATGTGGGGCAGATCTTGAATAGAGTCATCATTATTTGATTCAAATGTGTCTATATGTTTCTTGCCCTCATTCTGCTATAAACTTCACAAGGGCAGGGAGTAACCTACTCTCTAATTATTTATTTAATTTTATCATTATCATTATTATTATTTTAACTAATGAGAGACATAAAGAGGGAAAGTGAAAAAACAAGCTGCCAGGTCTGGGACTCGAGCAGTGGTTAGCCATCTGAGAGTCCAATGCCTTAAGCACCACACCACCTGCCAGCCCCATGGGAGTAATTATCTCTACTATCTCTCTCTCTCTCTTTTTTTTTGGAGAGGTTTTTTTTTGCTATAGAGCTCGTGCACTCACCAGAAAGACAGAGAGAGACAGACAGAAAGCGAGAAATCATCCCCCACCCACAGTGGGTATGGCCACATGGCAATCCCTTCTCCTCCATTCTCCTCTCGGGATCTTGGGCACGTATGCACATGCACCTGGCGTGAGTTTAAGTTACTGGGTTCAGGACTCGATCCACAGTTGACTACATGGGAGTCCAGAGACATAGCCATTACACCAGCTGCTGGTCCCTCTACTATCTCTTGACCACTGTCTCCCAGCACCTAGCTAACTGCCTGGCACATATTTATGCTGCATAAATATTTGTGGGCTTAGTGGAAGCCTCTAAACGCAGGGGCTGAGTATCCCTGGCACATGGAGGCAGCTATTCATTTTCCATGACTCTTGAGCTCTCACTCCTTCTCTGGCAGAATGCCTCTGGGGCCTTTGCAGACTCGACACCAGGGCCAGTGTTTCAAGTTCATTAATCACCTCTTTTGGCAAAGTAATCTGCCTCCTTTGGAAGCCCAGCCCAGAGCTTCTGATAGGGCCTTCAGTTCTGCCCCTTTTAAGGAAGTCTCATGGAGCTTCCTCTGCAGAAAAGGCTGTCTGTCCTGCACCCTGGCTTTGGAAGGCAGGCTTGTTGCATAAAAGCTCTGGCAGTGGTCTTTTTTGCCCAGAAACTTGGCAAGGCACTGCTGTAAACCGCGTAGGTGTGTGTGTGCATACACACTCTTTTTCACACATGGGTATGTCTGTTCTTATGTTTACATACACAGGGTGTGTGGAAGGGTGATCATAATTGTCCCCAACACCATGATTCAAAGACGCTAGAGCTTTATAACGCTAAGATTCACGTTTCTATGATTCCACGACTCTCGCTGTCCATGACTCTAAGATTTGCAGATTCGGCGTGCCTGAGGCCGACACGCCATCTGCAGTACGTGCATGTGCCTGGGAGTGTTCCGGAGCCTGTGGGTGGGAAGCCTGCTCTGTGGTTTCCTGGCTGATGTTTTCTTTCTCCGGGCTTGAGATATCAATCAGCTTGGCTGCTAAGTGTCTTAGCAATATGTCTGGAATTCCAGCTCAACACAGGCAGCCTGGGACATTAGCAGCTTCTGAATGCAAGGCAGTGGGGGTGGAGGGGAGGGGTCTGGAGAATAAACGAGGAAGAGGAGAGAGGCCTTAGGAAGGAAATGGGATTGTTGGGGCCTCATAGGCCTCAGGGAATGCCCTATAAGAAGTTCTTGAGTGGGGCCAGCAGGTGGCATGGTGATAAGGCAGCTGAATTCCAACAGGGCTAACCGGTTCGAGTCTCAGACCTGGCGGCTTAAAAATCACACCGGGTGTGTGTGCGTGCTGCCCAAAATCTGGAGAGGAGAATGGAGGAGAAAGATTTTAGTGTGGCCATCATCCTGGAAGGCGATTTCTCACTTTCCCTCTCCCTGTCTCTCCGTCTCTTTCCTACCTGGCGAGTGCACATACCCTGTGACAAAAACCTAAGCCAAACCAAAACGAAACAAAATATTACTGGATAGGACCCAGATTCGGTGGCAGGCATAGAAAGAGAGAATGAAAAGACACCTCAAGGAATTTTTGCACTAACTACCCCTTCCCCACTCACAAAATGACCTTGTCCATAGGTCATAGGAAATATCTATTATGAAAAAACTATACATGGATGTTTTAAAAGTTTTACACCAAAACAAATGCATACGTTCATTCCATTTTCCATAAACTTTGTGATGTCCCCTGATAAAGAGCTTGGACAAGTCATTTCATTTCTTTGGACCTTACTTTCCTCCTCTGGAGAGTGTGACGAATTAGGATCAAACTCCTGAGGTTCGGGCTGCCTTTTATGAACCATTCCTGGACACTGGGTTCGTTAGTTCCTTAGCGTTGACCGTGGCCTCTGAGAACCAGACCTTCGGATGACCTGGAATAGTGAGCTACCTGCTTCCCAACTACCTTCTGCCAGCCTGTACCCAGAGCATGGGGCCAGAGAGTGCCCGCTGCTTCTCAGGGGCCTGTTGTAGATGCCAGCTCACACAGGCAGCTGCTACATCCATCTCTAGCTTCATATTCTGTCCCCTGCCATCCTTGCATCCACCACCCCAGCTCTTGGGGCACTACTATGACGAGCACAGAATAATACAATGAAATCAGCATGTGGTCCCAGAACCAGACGCCAGGATTCAAATACCAACCCTTCTTTACTTGCTGTGTACTTTTAAGCTAGATACTTAACCTTTCTGAACTCATTTCCTCAACTGTAAAAGGGACTAATAATGATACTATCCATCTCCGAGAGCCCTTGAATCATGTCTGCCCATAGGGTCACTAGTAGTAGCTATTATCTTTATTTTTATTACTCCCTTTTTCTGTGACTCACTGCAAAATGTGAGGCTCCAGACTGGATGTAAGCCAAATGAAAAGGTTACTGAGAAGAGAAAAAAGATTCTGACCAGAATTGTATCAGTAATGTGCACAACAGAGATTCATTATTTGGCGACTTCTCAGGCTAGACACCTAGGACACTCACCAATTTCTGAACTTGGCCCCAGAAGCATGAGGCCACAGGGTGTCTCCTGTCGCCACACAGCCAGCCATGCCGCTATCCTACCCTCTCCCCTCCCTTACCTCCAGAATTTGTCTCCAGCAAAGATGTATGTCTTCTTGTTCTTGCTCCAGTTAAAAGCAGCATCCACTTTCTGGACATCAGGGGGCAATCCCAAGCTGGTCAGGGGCTTGGGGTACCCTCGCTCCAAGGTACTGGCTGAATAGACCCAGTACTCATTTCCTGCAATGGAAGCAAAGGTGTGTTGGTAGCCAGTTCTGAAATCCCCCAGGCTGGCCTGTTCCTCCCATCATCTGTCTACCAGGATATCCCACTGAGGCCATTGTCATCAAGGACAAGAGTTCCTATTCACTCTGGGTTTAGTGCCAGAATCAGGGCTCATGCACAGGGTTTTCAAGTTGACTGCAGAAGGTGCCCATCCAAGAAGGCGAGTGGGGGGATAAGATTCACCCTGGCCTCTGCTCACCAGGCCATATGCTCTAAGTGCCAGGCCTGCCATAAGGAGGCACTTTCTTCTTTTTCTTTTCTTTGCTTTTTCTTTTTTATGATAGAGAGAGGGAGGGGGAATGACAGGTATTTTTGACAGGGCTTCACATGTTGGGATCCCCCATCCCAGTCTCCATGTTAGGACTATAGGCAAGTGCCACCATTCCTGGCCTGTTCAGGCTGGTCCAGGATACAAACCCAGGTCTCCCACACTATTCCAGCCTCATGCAGTGGTGACCTCCTGTCAAACAAATTGGCTAGAAGGCACATCTTCTTCTAGTTTCCACAAAGGTGCCCTGAGCAAGCCGCTGCCTTGGCCAGGACCATGATCACTGTGGGATGGACAAGTTGGGAGTCGGAACAATAAGGACCTATAGTCAGCTGAGCTCTGAGCTGACACTAAAATGCCTTCTTGTGTTCTCACCTAGACGGGCAGGTACCCTCTCAGAGCCCTTTCTGCACTTCTTCCCAATAGCCTGGCTGTTTGTCTCCCTGGGTAGTCTGCAAGCAACGTCAGGGCAGGGACTGTGTCCCACAGGGCAGGTTGCTCAAATCCAGGTCAAATGAGCAGAACTTCCCAAGCTTCAGCCATAGAGACCTTACCTTGATTTTCGCCACATCTAAAGATTCTTTTCACTATTATTTTCATAGGATTTTACTTTTAGGGAATTAATTTTTGAATCTTTAAAAATAAGCTTATTTAAAAAAATTGTCTGGGGGTCAGCAGATGGTGTAGTAGTTAAGGTGCTGGACTCCCACATAGCCAATCACAGTTTGAGTCCCAGACCTGGTGGTTTAAAACTCACTCTGGGACACGTGTGCATGCATATGCAAAATCCCATGAGAAGAACAGAGTAGAAGGGATTGTGGTATGGCCATCCCCCCGGGGGGTGATTTCTTACTTTACCTCTCACTATCTCTCTCTGTTTCTTTCCAGTGAATGCACGTATTCCATGGCCAAAAAAAACTTTAAAAAAATTGTTTTAGAGTCAGTCAGTAGCATAGTGATCAAGGCGGTTAGATCCCACATGGACAACTGCACAGTTTGAGTCCCTGACATGGTGGCTTGTAAAAGACACCAGGCACATGTGTGCATGCCCAAAATCCCAAGAGGAGAATGAAAGAGAAGAGATTATGGCATGGCCATCCTTCCTGGAGGGTGAGTTTTCACTATCTGCTCTGGGTTAAAATGCCACCTTTCCATAACTATCTCTGCTAGAATAAATTTATTTTAATTTCCTTTTAAAAATGAGTTTTTAAAAATTCTAACTAAAATTGTGACCGGCCGAAGGCTCTAGCACTAGAAAAGTATTAGGAACACAATAGCACTACCTTGACTTTTTTTTCATATAGAAAGGAAGCAGAAGGATTGAAAAAGAATAAAAAGAACAAAATGTTCACTCCGTGGGTTCACATTATTGATGCCAGGTGTCTAATCTCCCAGATGGATCCCACGCCTCGGGAAATGAGGCTGGAAAAATGGGTCTATAAAGGGGAGGAACGCCCACAGGTGCACAGGAACTATGATGTGAGGGAGGGAGTGGGCCTGGGCCATGTAGGAACCTTGGTGCAGAGCCTGGTGGGGCCAGGGCCAAGGCAGGACCCTTCCCACACACCTGCAAAGAACACAGCCTTCTCTTCCTGCGGGGCCTCATACACAGCATCAATCTTTTCTGGGAGCTCAGGCCAGAATGTGGCTACCAGCAGGGGTCCCGTGGGCTTGTCACGTGGTGTCACTGTCCGCCAAATGAACCTGGGGATGGGGAGAGGATACAGGAAATCACATCTTTAGTCACTCTGCCACTCTAACCACTCACACCTCTCTGAGCTAACCCAGAAACATCCCAGTGATGATTCCATGAGGGGAGAGGGAGACAAAATCAGGAAGGCTGAAGAACTAGAGAATGCACAGAGTCCCTTTCTGCAAGATGCCAGGGCTGAGAAGCAACCCTCTTTAATCTACCCTTCCCACCTCTTCCAGGAAGCCTTCTTTGACTACCTGTCCATTCCATGCTCCCCCTCCTCCACCAAGTCTCTGAAAATCATCAACACTGTGCCTGGAACAGTAGTGTTTGTCTAACTCTATCTGATTAGAAGGCACTTGAGGCAGGGTTAATGGCATTCAAAAGCATTTCCTAAGTTGCAATGGAATGGATTCCTGCACTTCAGCAAGAATAGGGATGATCATTTTTTAAAATTTTTTTTTTTTGAGAAGTTTTTGCTATAAGGCACATGTGCTTGCCAGAAAGACAGAGAGAGAAAGAGAGACAGAAAGCAAGAAATCACCCCTCAGAGGGATGGCCACGCCGCAATCCCTTCTCCTCCTTCTTCCTCTCGGGATCTTGGGCATGCACGCACATGTGCCCAGTGTGAGTTTAAGCCACCGGGTTCGGGACTCGAACCGTAGTCAACTACATGGGAGTCTAGCAACACAGCCATTACGCTAACTGCTGATCCCTCATTCACTTATTTTTAATTTGATCATAGAGAGACAGAGTGAGAGGGGGAAACTGAGAAAGCAAGCTACCAGGTCCAGGACTTGAACCGTGGCCAACCATGTGGGAGTGTCCACCTGCTGGTCCCTGGACATCATTTATTTATTGAGGGCCTACACAGTGCCATGCAATGTAGTACCTTATAATTTAAGCCTCACAATGTTACAAGATTAATATGCACTCTTATGGTCTACCCAGTATTAAAAATTCTAACTAAAATTGTGACCGGCCGAAGGCTCTAGCACTAGAAAAGTATTAGGAACACAATAGCACTACCTTGACTTTTTTTTCATATAGAAAGGAAGCAGAAGGATTGAAAAAGAATAAAAAGAACAAAATGTTCACTCCGTGGGTTCACATTATTGATGCCAGGTGTCTAATCTCCCAGATGGATCCCACGCCTCGGGAAATGAGGCTGGAAAAATGGGTCTATAAAGGGGAGGAACGCCCACAGGTGCACAGGAACTATGATGTGAGGGAGGGAGTGGGCCTGGGCCATGTAGGAACCTTGGTGCAGAGCCTGGTGGGGCCAGGGCCAAGGCAGGACCCTTCCCACACACCTGCAAAGAACACAGCCTTCTCTTCCTGCGGGGCCTCATACACAGCATCAATCTTTTCTGGGAGCTCAGGCCAGAATGTGGCTACCAGCAGGGGTCCCGTGGGCTTGTCACGTGGTGTCACTGTCCGCCAAATGAACCTGGGGATGGGGAGAGGATACAGGAAATCACATCTTTAGTCACTCTGCCACTCTAACCACTCACACCTCTCTGAGCTAACCCAGAAACATCCCAGTGATGATTCCATGAGGGGAGAGGGAGACAAAATCAGGAAGGCTGAAGAACTAGAGAATGCACAGAGTCCCTTTCTGCAAGATGCCAGGGCTGAGAAGCAACCCTCTTTAATCTACCCTTCCCACCTCTTCCAGGAAGCCTTCTTTGACTACCTGTCCATTCCATGCTCCCCCTCCTCCACCAAGTCTCTGAAAATCATCAACACTGTGCCTGGAACAGTAGTGTTTGTCTAACTCTATCTGATTAGAAGGCACTTGAGGCAGGGTTAATGGCATTCAAAAGCATTTCCTAAGTTGCAATGGAATGGATTCCTGCACTTCAGCAAGAATAGGGATGATCATTTTTTAAAATTTTTTTTTTTTGAGAAGTTTTTGCTATAAGGCACATGTGCTTGCCAGAAAGACAGAGAGAGAAAGAGAGACAGAAAGCAAGAAATCACCCCTCAGAGGGATGGCCACGCCGCAATCCCTTCTCCTCCTTCTTCCTCTCGGGATCTTGGGCATGCACGCACATGTGCCCAGTGTGAGTTTAAGCCACCGGGTTCGGGACTCGAACCGTAGTCAACTACATGGGAGTCTAGCAACACAGCCATTACGCTAACTGCTGATCCCTCATTCACTTATTTTTAATTTGATCATAGAGAGACAGAGTGAGAGGGGGAAACTGAGAAAGCAAGCTACCAGGTCCAGGACTTGAACCGTGGCCAACCATGTGGGAGTGTCCACCTGCTGGTCCCTGGACATCATTTATTTATTGAGGGCCTACACAGTGCCATGCAATGTAGTACCTTATAATTTAAGCCTCACAATGTTACAAGATTAATATGCACTCTTATGGTCTACCCAGTATCTACTAATACACTTCTTTATCATCCTTCATAGACTCCACATGTATGACCCATCCTTCACCTCTCCAGGCCTGTGACCCCAGTTCCCATCCTAGGTGTAGATACTGATTAGTCCAAGACACTGATTCTCAAAATGTGGTCCCCAGATCTGCAGCAACAGATTACCTGGAAACTCTTTAGAAATGCAAATAATTGGATCCTACCTGAGATCTATAGTTCAGACTTTCTGGACTTGGAGCTTAGAATTTGTGTTTGAAAGAACTTTCCAGATGGTTCTAATATATGTCAAAGTCTGAGAACTACTGGTCTAAGCCAATCAGAGTTCAGTATTGCCTGGCAGCTGTTACGGATTCAGTAGGTGCCGTATCAGTTAAGTCAGCACAGAGAGACTACACGGAGAAATTTCACATCTGGGGATCTCTGTATGCATGTGCGTGTGTTCTCTCTCTCTCTTTCACTCTCCCTCTCCCGCTATATGTGTGTAGGAATTCAATTGCCATTGGCAGCCAACTTACCACCACGAGGGAACCCAGCCTGGGGATGAAGGCAGTGGACATGGAGTCACTGACCTTCTTTCTGACCCTGGAGACAGCCCACCCATGAACTTCGCATCATGTGAGAGCAGTTTCTCTCCACTGTTTAAGCTGGCTTGAACTGGCATGGGGTAGGGGGTGAGGGGCCACTGTTACCTTTGGCAGAATATCTTAATACACAAAGGTATCACAATCCTTATTTGGTAAATGAAGCTCAGAGAGGTTAAGGAATTACCAGGATTCGAATCCAGGTCTGATTCCAAAGTCCAAGTTTAATCCTCCTGCAAATACTGTCCTCCTTATCTGCCCACTACCTAGCATCAACTGTGCACATGGTCATGGCTTACATGTTTACTCGTTAACTCAATGCACCCATTCAACACCCACCAGCTTCCATTTGAAAGAAACTAGGATGTGGCAGACCAGAGATGACTTGGAATATGATCAGGACTTCCTCAGTGGGAGGCGCTCCAGGATAAGGACATTGCCGGAGAGTTGGGCCCTGACTGACCCCTTCCCCACCCCTGTCACGGGTGCTGCAAGGCAGCAGTGACATCTACTGTTATATATCCTGCTTGGGTATTCAAGGCCTGATGCATCTGGCTTCTCATGGCATTCTGAGTCTTATCTCATTTGCATTTGTGCCATCTCCCTACGGGACAGCAGACAATGAAGGACAGGGCAGCTGGACTCCAGCACTTGGCCCAGTGCCTGGAGCAGAGGAAGCCCTTCACAAATGCATATGGAACATCTTCGAGCCTCACCAAGCACTCTGATACCCTCTGAATAAGCCAGGGATGTTCACATCTCTATGATCTCTCTTGGCTTTGCAGCCTTTGTCTTAAACACCCTCCCAACCTGTCACTCCATCACCGCCCACCAGAATCCTACTTCTCTTCAAAGGCTCTGTTCAAATACCACCTCATCTGTGAAACCTTCCTCAATTAGGACATACCCACAGAAGCATTTTGCTAATGTCCCTACAATCCCATTTCTTTCATTCTGCTGTGCTTTACTGTCAGTTCTCTATGCTTCTGTTTCCCAGACTGGTGGTGCACATGCAGTGACAAGCATCGGAACTATTGGGGAAGTTGGTAAAATGCACATTCCAGTCAGAGGGCTTGGAGCTGGGGGCAGAAAGCCACACTTCTAATACACAGAGTGCTGGCGGTTCTGGTACAGAGGCCCATGGACCTCTCTTTGAGAACACTGATCTACATATGGAGTAGTCCCTCGGCCCCCAGACCACCCTGTTTCCTCCCACAGACACTGGAGCCTAGCAAAACATCTGGCACAGTAGAGGCCAAACAATTATTTGCTGCTATGAGAGCTGACATGATCGAATACGTTGACTCTGTGGCAGGCACTGTTCCAAGCACTAAGCTCATCTATTATCATTCTTCTAATAGCCCTGTGAGACAGATTGGATTATTAGTCCCATTCTAGTGATGAAGGAATAGAAGTACAAAGAGCATACTGAATTAGCTTGCCTATGATCATGCAGCCAGTGTGTAGCAGCTGTACTATTCTAACCAGACAATCTAGCTCCAGTGTCCACTTTTTCTACTACTACATTCTATGAATGGATCAATGAACAGATGGATAAATAAATGGAGGCAATAAGAGGTGATGGACAGGTAGGAAGATAATGGATGATCATGATGGATAGTGAATAAGAATGTAGGTAGGTATGGATGGACGGATGGACGAATGGACAATCAAAGATGAACAAACAGACCCTAGATACTGCTTGCTATTCACCCAGGAGGCTAGGGCATGAGGGTGAATCTCACCCTTGTCAACTGAGTGAGGGCCTTTACCTACAACCCATGAGTGCCCTGCCATGTGACTGCAGTACCACTGTCTAAGGGAGGTGTTGGGCTTGGCGCTGTGATTTGCTTCGCTTGATGGAATGTTCTCAGGCATGAGTTAAGTGGAGGTTTGTACATGTACTTGCGTGGTTGCATTTGGCTTCTTGCACCCTGTAATTTGCCATGAATAGCCACTAATCCCAGGAGAGTGACTGACATACGAAGCCTACCTGAACCTAAATTGAAGGTGGGAATCAAGACACTGAGCAGACACACAGAGTACGAAGAAGCAAAAGAGGTGGTAAGCCACTGAGTTCTGCAGGTTGCTTGATACACAGCAAAAATAATCTAACAGGGGTCACTCTGTGAAGAACCCCAGAGGGGTCCTCAGCAAAGGGTGGAGCACAGGAAGAATGACTCAGAAGGACAGAAGACAAGGAGGACAAGCAGACAAGCAGCAAACTCCTGTACTCACCGGTCCTTGAAGAAGAAGATCTCGCCGCGGATTTGCGCGATGCCATCAAAGACGATGTCCTGTTTGCAGATCTCAGGAGTGACAGGTCCCAGAGTGGGGGTGGGACCGGTGCCAGTGTCAATGTCAGGGGAGGCTCCTGGGAGAGGACACCCAACCTTAGACTCTCCTTAGCTCCAGGAGTTCTCCCAGGGAAGCCCACCTGACCTAAGGGTCCGAGGAGCAGTATTCTGGAGGAAAGCTCGGTAAGATAAAGGATGCCTGGTCTTGGACAGAGGTGGGTGAAGAGAGACCAAAGCCTAGAGGCCCTTCATACTTCATAAATGCTCTTCACTGATAGCACCTCAGTCTCTCTATATCCCTGGGAGGTGAGTATCACTACACCCACTTCACAAATAAGGAAACAGGGGCTCAGAAAGGTTCAGTGAGTTGTCCAAGGATTCAAAGCCAAAACTGATTCTTATGCCCACAAGAGAGTCAGTATAGTTAAGGGCCCATCTGTGTGTCCAGAAATGGGGGAGGGCACTTCCTCAAGGAGTAATTCCTTTACTCCTCATGATAACCAGCTACATTTAAAGATGAGGAAACTGAGCCCAGAGAGATTTATAGAGTTGCTCAATCTCTCGCAGCTAGTGAGTGGCAGAGGCAGAACTGGAGCCCACTACTTCCATCCCAGGCTGCATGACCTCCCCAGGCCCTGCCCAGGGGCCCAGTACCTCCATCCCGGGCTGCATGACCTCCCCAGGCCCTGCCCAGGGGCCCGGGACCAAGGCATACCGTAGAGCTCTTGAATGCCCTTGATATCGTCATGGGACAGGCGGAAGTTCTTGGTGTAGGTGTAAATGGGCGCCATCAGGGCTCCGGGGTCCTGTGAGTGCTCCAGTCCCATGGCATGGCCAAACTCGTGGGCAGCCACAAGAAACAGGCTGTACCCTGAAGGCCGCAGACAGGGAGGGGGTAGAAGACAGGGAGAGAGATGAGAGGAGTCAGGATCTGAAGCCAACAGTGGAGACGTTTGAGGACATCGCCATGGTGGGGCTGGGAGCCCTGGAAAGGGCTCATAGTGATCCTTCCTCCTCCAGAGAGTTCTGGGACTAATAAGCCATGTCTATTGCTTTCAATGGGGTCAGCCAGAGTCCTCCTGTCCCATTCCAGGGCTGGCTGCTTGTGTGCTGGAGAACACAAAATTCAAGCTTCTTGGGGCCAGCAGGTGGCGTAGTGGTTAAGGCTCTGGACTCACCCCACATAGTTGACCTCTGTTAGAATCCTGGACTTGGTAGCTTGAAATTCACGCTGGGTGTGTGTACATGCATTCCCAAGATCCCAAGAGGAGAATGGAGAAGAGGGGAATGAGGCATGGCCATCCCCCCCGGGAGGTGATTTCTTGTTTTCTGTCTTTCTGGTGAGCACATAAGCCCTATATCAAAAATCTCTCTTTTGGGACCAGCAGTTAGCATAATGGCTATGTCGCTGGACTCCCATGTAGTCGACCGCAGTTTGCGCCAGGGACCCGGTGGCTTAAAACTCACGTCCGGCATGTGTGCGTGCGTGCCCAAGATTCCGAAAGGAGAATGGAGGAGAAGGGACTGTGGCATGGCCATCCCCCCGGGGGGGGGGGGGAGTGATTTCTCGCTTTCTATCTCTCTGTCTGTCTGGCGAGCGCACGTGCCCTATAGCAAAAGCCTCTCCAAAAAAATAAAAATCTCTCTTTCAAAAAAAAATTGGGACCAGCAGTTAGTGTAATGGCTATGTCGCTGGACTCCCATGTGGTTGACCGTGGTTCAAGTCCCTGACCCGGTGGCTTAAACTCACGCCGGGTGCGTGTGCGTGCAGGCCCAAGATCCCAAGAGGAGAATGGAGAAGGGATTGCGGCATGGCCATCCCCCCTGGGGGGTGATTTCTCACTTTCTGTCTCTCTGTCTCTGTCTATCTGGCGAGTGCATGCGTCCTATCGCGAAAAAAACTCTCAAAAAAACAAAAAAATCCAGAGAGGAGAATGGAGAAGGGATTGCAGCGTGACCACCCCCCTGAGGGGTGATTTCTCGCTTTCTGTCTCTTTGTCTTTCTGGCAAGTGTATGCCCTATAGCAAAAAAAACTCCAAAAAAAAAAAAAGAAAGATAAGAACTCCTTTGGCCAGGCTGTCAGCTGGCATTCATCAAATTCCATCTCATTGTGAGTAAAAAGAATATAAGTAACATGGAAAGCATCTGCCCTAACTTCAGCAGGCCCTGGAGTAGGCTCTTACCTAACCATCGTGGCCATCAGGGGGGCTCTGAGCCCAATGACTCAGGCCCCTGCTCACTACACTGACCACACGGGAGGTCACAGGCTATCTCCTGGTCACTCTCTCACCCCAGTCTAGCAGTGATGTCTCAGCACCCAGTGCTGACAAGGACCCGCCATGCACACCTTGGCAAAGGATGGTGCTGATGGGGTGGGCGGGATTAGGGCGCTCCTGTGCTGTGTAGAATGTAGGGTAGGAGCAAGGAGGGGGCTTCTTCCCTTTTCCTCTCCTGCTCATCCAGCTCCTTGAAGGTATCTCTGTTTTGGAGTGTGTGTGTCTCTTAGGAGAATCATCTCTCTGGGGCAGAGTAGTCTGTGTCTAGGATTTGGACACTGGTAGTGACAGCCCTTCCTGGAGGGGTGGTGGAGCATCATCTCCTCGGGAGGCCAGTTTCTACCCAGGAAGGGGGTACCAGGGTGGAGGGGCTCTTATTTTGGAGGCGGTGCCTCTATGTAGATGAGTGGGACCTGATTTCACCATGGATGGGCGGTATCTCTGCTCAGGTGGGTGGGTCTGGGGAGGCACAGTGTCCCTAGCACGATGAGGGGTGTTTGGGGGCAGTGTCTATGCCTGAGGTAGGTGGGACCTCAGGAAGGTCTCTGGCGTGGGGTAGAGGGGCGATGTCAGGAGTCTCTGCTCAGTGGTCAGGGCCGTACCTTGGTCGGGGCAGAAGCCCCACTTGCGGTCATCATCGTAGTTGGACGTGGTGGCACACCACATCTTTCCGTCACTGCGGCCAGCGCTGGTGCAGCTCTCGTACTTGTTGCCCAGGAAGGTGAAGGGGAAGACACAGGGGGCACCTTCTGAGTTCCCACCCACAGTGGACATGGCTGTGGAGGAGAGATGCAGCTCAAGGGCAGAGCGTCTTAGGCCTCCACCAAGAAATAGTAACAGAACAACAAACCACACCTACTGAGTACTGCACTGTCCCAGGCACTGGATCAGGAGCCTTAGAACACCCCACCTGCCCTTCACAAAAAACTCATGCAGTAGGGACCACCTGGTAAGCCACTTCATAGATGAGGAAACCAGCGCTGAGACAGATTAAGAAACCTAACTGAGCAGACACGCGAGGAAGTATCAGCGCCGGGATTCAAACCCAGGCAGTCCAATTCCAGAGATGCAATTAGCCTCCCAAGGGTGAGGCAGAGTTGCCAGTGGCAAAGGGGCTGGCAGAGTTGATGGCGCCAACACTCTGTCCTAGACTAAAAGCCCCACTAGGCAGGGTCTGCAGAGCCCAGTCTCCATGTCTGCTGCATTAGCAGGCGCTCAGTAAACACGTTTGAATAGAGGCAGAGGAAAGCAGGGAGTACTAACGGAGGAAGGGAGGAATGGAAAGGAGAGGGGAGAGAGAAAAGGAAGGAAGACAGGAAGGGAGGGAGGGGGTCCTTACTAAAACAGAGACGAAAAGATAGAGATACCTGGTAGGAAAGGCACAGATGAGAGACAGCATGGTCAGAGAGAGGGAGAGAGAAATGCCTGTCAGGGAGGCTGAGGGAAAAGGCTGTGGGTCAGACAGAGAGGGGCCTGGGCAGGTCAGGCATTTGGGCACCACCAGGTCAACTGAACTGGCTGTCAATGCCCAGTGTCTGTACCAGCTAAGTATTCTGACTAGCAGCCCAGCCTGGGGGAAGGAGTTTGGGAGGAGGGAGGAGTCTGGTGGGTTTTCTATCAGACAGCAGCGTGCTGGACTCTGAGGCTCAGGGAGAGGCAGGGACACCCACCGGTCTCCGGGCAGAAGCCGTACTTCTTGTCACGGTCATAGTCCTCGGTGGTGCCGCACCAGCGGTAGCCATCAGTGCGGCCCTCGGTGGTGCAGCTGTCGTAGGATGTCCCCTGGAAGCGGAACGGGAACTTGCAGGGCTGTCCGTCAGCGTTGCCACCCATGGTGAACAGGGCTGGGAGCAGGGAGAAAGGGGGAGAATGCAGCTGAGAGAGAGGCACCTATATGGGCATGGGGCTGGCTAGTCAGCCACCTATAGGTTTGCACCAGTAAAGATGTTGCATGGTTAAAACATTAGAAACCAGGGACCAGCAGATGGCATAATGGTTATGTCGCTGGACTCCCGCACGGCTGACCGTAGTTAAAGTCCCAGAACCGGAGGCTTGAAACTCACACAAGTGTGTATGTGGGCATGCCCAAAATCCCAAAAGGAGAGTGGAGAAGGAATTGCAGTGTGGTCATCCTCCCAGGGAGTGATTTCTTGCTTTCTGTCTCTCTGTCTCTGTCTCTCTGGTAAGCACACGTGCCCTATAATAAAAAATCTCTCTTGAAAAATAAATTAGAAACCATCTTTACTGGTTAGTGAAAAGTTGCTTCTCTGAACACCAAGAGAAGACCCATACCTATGGCCAATCTGATCTTCCTGAAACCTTCGGACTTCTAGCAATGAAATGGTTAATACCTGGCACATAGCAGACCCACAGTCACCTTCCACTCAGCCTAATCAATGCTTACACCATTAAATTGCTAAATATGGGGTTGTCTGGAAAGTCGTGATGCATTTTTGCATAAAAAAACATGGTATGACTTTCCTGACAACCTAATTTATCACTCACGGTGGGCAGGACCAAAAGATTCTCTCTTCATTTGATACACATGGAAACTGAGGCTCAGAGAAAGCTGGTTCTGGAACTGCTCATGGTCACATAAATGAAACAAGTGAATGAAGGCCGTAAAAAAAATTACAAAGCACTCTAATCTCAATCTCTCTTTTGTTCATTCTTTCTGTCTCTCTCTTCCACACACACACACACACGCACACACACATACACACACACAGCAAAAACTTCACCTCCTTTCAACCCCAGGCCCTTTCCTGAACGGCTCTACTGAGGTCCCTGCTGGAAGCAGAGGAGCAATGAAGAGGAGGAGGAAGGAGGAGGAGGTGGTGTCTCTGGGAACCTTCTAATACATGCTCCAGGCTGTCACCCTGACCTCTCCGGGACAGGTGCCATGACTGGAGGGTTGGGGGGGGGTGAGCAGGATGCAGAGTATGGCCTGTATATCTTGGGTTCTCCCTTGTCCTCACATCCCCTCACCCACCCCAAGGCTACAAAATGGTGTGTCTCTGAAATTGCCAACTAGCAAAACCGCAAGTGCGTAACAAGGACCATCTGTACACAACTGCGCCAGAGGTGACCTCACCAGCCCCCGTTAACTCCACCATGGCCAGAATAAAAGCCAGTCGCTGGCCTCCCACCACAGAACCTGGGGCCCATATCTGCATTATTCCCCTATCCCCCAACCAAGAGGCCTTGTAAAAAAGTGCCAGAAGAAATGGGACCTAGTGAAGGGACAAAACTGAGTCCAGATACTGGCGCCTCGGAGTGGGGAGAAGCAAAGTGTTAACCTTGACTGAGACCAATCATGCTCCTCCCCCTGAAATCAGCTGCATTTCTACCACCCAGGAAGCCCCTGTCCCCTCTGGATCCACCCCCAACAAGGATGGTGAAAAGCAGACACTGACTCAGTAGTCAGGAGGGGCTGAGTAAGGAGAACCTCTGCCTCGAGGTCCAAACACATGTTTTGCGTACTTGCACCTGGCTAAAGACCAGAGCAGGGAAAAACCCTTCCCAAATTTATAAAATACAGCTGTTCCTGCATTTCTCTTACCAAGATATCTGTTCTGATCAGCGGGTTGATAGATGGAAGAGTTAACACTACCTGGATCTTTACGGGGAAATGCAAGATATACAAGATATTTTTATTTTAAAATATCTCATTTATTAATGGTCAATGGCTTTAACTCTTAATACAATGTTTAGTTTTGGTAATAAAAGGGTAAACAGGAAGGAAATGAATGAGCTATTTGTTGTCTTTCGTCGAGATGGTAGGTACTTAGCACGTTTAGTCCCAATGAGGTTAGAGAGATGCATAAACATAACATTTTAGTCAAAAAATATGAGTCTGTAGTCTACGTAGACTAAAGTGTCTTTATGGGCTGGTGGAAAAGGTAGTATTTATAAAAACGTTAAGACTTTCTCTAACTTCCCCTAATTTTCTTTTGAGATTCCAGCCTTTAGAATCATCAAATAGGACTCAGTGAAGTTATTATACACTGCCTTTTTGTGCCTTATGATTATGTGTGTCAAGGACGTTTTTACAAGGGATTGAGTGTACATGTCCAAATTCTTCTTCCTTTACTAAAGCTTTCCCCCCCACGCGGCTTCAAATCTCTGAAAATGCCGTCTCAGAGCACTGACAAAAACACGCACACAAATACCAAGGCAAACCTAATTAATGCCTTTTCCTTTCCCTTTGCCACACAGTGATTCAGACATAAGCTGGCAGACTGGACTGGCAGAAAGACAGCAATCAAGTGAGACAGAAGGTAAAGTCCCCATGTCCCTCCCCCCGCCTCCCCCACACACACTCGGTCCCTCACTTTCTCCGTTTCTCTCTCATTAGCATTAGTAGAGTCAACATCAGGGCCAGGGCAGGAACAATGACCGAAATTCCCAGGGCTGCGTTTCCCAAGCCAGGTAGAATACCAGCCTTGGTCTGTGTCCTTCTGCCCTAGCCCACTGCCAGGTGCTCCACGTATCCCCAAACCTCTCTTTAAGCCCTTGAATCCACCATCTTGGTTGGGATGCGGAGTAGTTCTAGAGCAAACTCCTGGGCATATTCATAGTCTAAGATCATTCTAATGTCAGAAAAAAATAATTAGAACCTCCAACCTGTGATTTCACGTATATTATCGCTAACAATAAGACTTAAAAAAAAATGAATGTAATCAAAGTATTAAATAAATAATGGTACAGCTGACAGAAACGTAACGATGGCTCAAATCAGGAGAGTGGGGTCTGAAAGATGGACACTGAGGGGGATGCCAGTTAACCAGCAGTGCCAGACCCAGAGAATGTGGAGAACAAGAGCATAACTGGGGAAGGACAAAGATCTGTGGTGGAACGCTCAGGGCCCAGGGGGATACTCACCTTCATGGGGGCAGAAGCCATACTTCCCGTCCTTCTCAAAGTTGTAGGTGGTAGAACACCAGAGGAAGCCATCACTGCGGCCCGTGTCTGTGCAGCTGTTGTACTCCTTGCCATTGAACAGGAAGGGGAACTTGCAGTACTCCCCATCGGCGTTCCCATACTTCACCCGGACCACTGTGACAGTGACACAGAAGATGGAGGTTCAAAATCTCTAGGACTTTTTCTGGAGATCAAGATTCTGACTCACCAGGTGTGTGACTTCCCCTTCCTATTTCTCTGGTCCCATTAGAGCAGACAGAGGTACCCAAGGTTACTAGGGACGCCATAGTTTGTTTTGCTAGGTAACAGACTGGAAAGGAGGTCTGGGACATGTGGAGGGTTTCTTTCTTACCTTGCCCTTCTCCCAGGGTCCACAACTCATCGTCATCAAAGTGGGAGTCTCCCCCAACACCAGTGCCTGGGGCAAAGGCATGAGCCAGAAGCCCATCCTTGCCATCGAAGGGGTATCCATCTCCATGCTCTGAAACACACAGTGGGTCTCCTCTTCTGGCTGCCCTAGCTAGACCCTAAAACCCATCCACACCCAAATCCACATTTAGGGCTGCTTAGCCCACCTAGTATCTGTCCCCTACTTCTGTCCCATGGGGGTTATTCAGGACTCAGAACACAGAGAGTTGCTGACCTGATTGTTTTCATCTTACAATCCACACTATTTTCTCAAATCTATGTCACTCCTAGTATGTATACCACCTAATTTCACTGTCTATACTACCACCAATGACACCATACTACCCACATACCTACAGTGCCACATCAGTCCTCACCACATATTCTCCTTGTCTCCAATGTCTATGCCATTTACCCTCCTGTCAACATTGCACTCTGAACCATAGCATCTGCTTCATGCCATATTACCAAAACCTACAACACTAACCTTTACACCTATTTTGTTACCCAGACTACTCAATCTCTACACTACTTACCTTCATGTCTAGACTACTGCCAGTGTTCACATCAACTCACATGACAGTTTTAAGTCAAGGCCTATTCTATTTATTCTCATGTCTACACTGCCCCCCTGTATCGAACATTCTTACATCTACTATTCTTCAGGGTCTACTATATCATCCATCAGAACTTCCTGTGATAATGGTGTCCAATTCAGTAATATCGACTAGTCTCATGTGGCTATTGAGTACTTGGTATGTGGCCAGTGTAACTAAGAAATTGAATTTTATATTTATTTATTTATTTTAGTTTTTGCTTCAGGGAGCACACACTTGCCAAAGCAGGGCAGAGAGGAAGTGAGAAATCGCCCCAGGGAGGAGGGTCATACCACAATCCCCTCTCCTCCATTCTCTTCTTGGGATTTTTGGGCACTCATGGACATGCCCCTGGTGTGTTTTTTAAGCTGACGGATCCAGGACTCAAACCACGCAGTCAGCCATGTAGGATCCAGTCATCTTAACCACCATACCACCTGGCTGGCCTCAAAATTTAAATTTTAAAAATACTTAAATTTAAATTTAAGTAGTCAAATGTACCCAGCGGCTCCCCCAGTGGACACGCAGTATATCAGACCATACTACTGTGTAAGCACTTCAGGTTGACACAGCCTCCAGGTGATGGTGTGGCTCATCATTTGCCTCCACAGCTACACGGCATTCCACTGTCTGCGCTGTGTGGTGTTGCCACTGTCTAAACCACTTCCAGTGTCTACACTTCTACTCACCTACTTAAGCTACCTTACGCTCCTGCAATGTCCATATAATCCCCCCACCCCCCGATCCCCGTCTACACTGACCCCCTGCCAACCTCTCCTCTGCCTACCCCAGCGGCCAAAGTTGATCATGATGTCAGCCTCTCCATCATGGATGCGGGAAAACCGTAGAGGGGTCACATCACTCCAGACTTGGAAAGCTCGAGCGAAGGCATCATCCACTGTTTCTGGGTCCAGATCAGGTGTGTAACCAATGATCCTGGAGGTGGTAGAACATGCATGTGAGTGTGTACATGTGCCAAGTATGTGCATATATGCATGTGCATATATGTGAGCATGCACAAATGTCTGCAAATGTGTGCATTTATGTGGGTGTGTGCCCATGAATGTGGGAAAATAAGTGCGTGCGTGCACACGTGCATGTGCACATATGCACGTGTGTGGAGGTCGATGTGTGTGTATGTTGAGCAGAGCCTTCCCAGAGTGCCCTGAGGTCCCATGAAGCACCAAACCAGCCAACGCTTTCAGGCCCTGTGTCAGAAGTCTCAACTCTCACTTCTGGTTAGGGGCAGGAAGTGGACAGGGACATAAACAATGCATTATGAGACATGGGGCAGAGATCTCACCATTGGAACCCAGCACCAGCCATATTGCCCACTAGCCCAATTAGCAGCCAATTATAGCAGCTCTATAATATAAAAATCCAATTAGCCACCAGTCATTGAGTTCCCTCTGACTATCCCAATGACCCCATCCTAATAACGACGATGACTAACATTTATTACACTCTTGCTCTGTGCCAGACGCTGTGGAAGCACTTTAGATATATGCTATCTAGCTTAGTCCCCCAGCCAGCCCTATGAGAAAGCATTTTTCTAGTCCCATTTTGTAGATTAGAAAGCCAGTGCTCAGAGCACTGAAAAATAAACACCCCAATACTGTGAGACTCAAGTCCAGGTCTATCGGACTCCGTTTTCTTAGAACTTTGTGTGCAAACTTCCTAAGCCAAATCATCATGATTCCCTGTGAAGGGAGAAGGCAAGCTTGATGTCTCCCAACCCCATGGCCCTGCCTCCCCCGGCCCTGTCTAGGCACCTGTATGTGATCTGGTTCTTGTCCCACTTGGGCTTGCGGGGGAAGAAGTTGTAGTTGGCCACATCCGGGTTGCCGCAGCGTGGCTTCCGCATGGTCTCGATGGTGTTCTGGTCAAGGTCACCTGTCTGGGGCAGCCCGAAGAACTTTTGCATCTTCTTCAGTGTGTCCTTCAGCACAAACAGGTTGCAGCTCTCCTTGGGGCAGCCGTAGAAGGTATTCAGGTATTGCTGGAAGAAAAGAGCACCCCAGGCAAGCAGGCTAGGTTAGGATGGCGTAGGACTGGCCAAAGTGGGCTGCAGCAACCAGTCTCCAGACCAGCCCCATAGTCCAGAAAGGGCATAATCCAAGAGTCCCAAGAATATTGAGTGCAGGCCTGGGTTCCCAAACCAGCTGTCACCCACGGCTGCCTGACATAAGTGCTGTAAAGAGAATGACTACCATCTGCTGGTACTGAGTGCGCACTATTCGCCCTGACACTGAAGTCAGTATAGAGTTGCTCATTTAATGCTCACAACTCCATAATGGGAAGATATGATCCCCATCTAACAGAAGAAGCAATTGAAACACAGACAGGGTAAGAAACTTGCCTAAAATCACACAGCTCATAAATGGCAGATCGAATTTGGCATCGGTCTGGTTCTAGCTCACGCCAGAACACTCCAGCCGCCTTCCTTTACCTCCATCATCTCATTTATCCACCTTGCAGTGGTGACTTGGGGGCTTCTTTTCTTCCTCTCTCTCTCTCTATATATAAAATCCACATATGTGTGTGTGTGTGTGTGTGTGTGTGTGTGTGTGTATAAAGAAATATAAGGGCTCTGGCAGCAGAGAATCCTGGGTTCAAATCTAGACCTGCCATCTCCAGAAAGAAAACAGACATGTCCTTCAGAGGCCACACAACTGGTTCTGCCCAAACTGAGGCCCAAATCAAACAGGCCTCTGCAAAGGTTCAAGGACCAACCAACTCATTTACTAATTCAACACCTACTATGTGCCAAGTCCTATGCTACTGCTGGGAATAAACTAGTGAGCAAGACAAACATTTCTAGTGTCTAAGGTTCAAATCCCAGGGCAGGGGTGTGTGTATGTGGGGAAGAGGGTTAATGGATTAGAAATAAGTACATAATTAATGACCTAATAAATGCTACATTGGAAAGGTAAAAAAGAGACCTGAAGACGGGCCCTAACTTGTAAGGACAGTGAGGAGAGGGAAACTAAAGCGTATGACAGTAATAATGATACAATAGTCATAATGGCTAACGCTTACTGAGCACTTACCGTGAGATAGGTACTATTACTATTCCCAGTTTGCAGATGAAGAAACTGAGACTCAGAGAAGTTAAATCACTTGCCACAAATGACTAGGCCAGTTGGTTAGTGCCCCCCTTGATTTGAAGCCAGGCAGTCTAAGTGCAGAGCTCAACTTCTCAAGCCCCACTGCACTGCCTCTGGGCCACTTAGATTTCCATAAGCTGTAGGTTTGAGGACTCAGCGGTCATTGCACCAAGGCTCCACTCTCACCCCAAACCAACAGCCACATCACTATGCTAGCCAGCTCCAGATCCTTGAATAAAGTATCCCTGTAAAAGCGTGACAAGGTCCCCCAACCCAGATACCCAGAAAGGGGTAGGGGAGTGGACCAGCAGATGGCGTAATGGTTACTTTGCTGGTCTCCCACGTAGTCAACCATGATTGGAATCCTGGAATCGTGGCTGCAGGATGCAGGCACATGTGTGTGCCCAAAACCTTAGAGAGGAGAATGGAGAAGGGACTGAAGCGTGGCCATCCGC